AGGGTATTGAAGACTCGAAGAGTTTCCAGCGCCGTAGATTTGTGATAATTGCCCCCCACCTGAATCTTTTTTCGGATGACTCAGCTGTTTGCATTATTTGCACTTGTTATCTGATATCACCGGATGGGAGCAAATCAACTTGGGAACTGAATTGTTGTAAGAACTCAAGATCCCCATTTCTTCTTGCAATATAACCATAACCATGAGCAGGGCTCTCTTACGAGGGGCTACTTGCCAGACTTGTCGGCATGAGGTGCTGCGCTCCTTCGTTTCCGTCTCCGGCATCCCAATGCCACGATCCTCTCCTCTTCCCTCCCGTCCAATCTCCAACACTAGAGCTTTCTCCGCCGTAAATTTGCTGCGATCTGATACTTCCAACCAGTTTGATCGTCATCTGTCCGAACCAGAACAGTCGCCAGCGCAGTCGGAATCCAACACGCCAGTTTCATCACAGCATGTCCCCTGGTATCTGCAGGAAGAGGCGCCGACCATTAAAGAGCGCCCGTTGACCGAAGCCCATCTTCCCCAGATTCCAGATGATTCGCCAGAGATGCTCTTGACTCTATTGGAGTATACATATAAGGACTTGGGATTGGACGGTCTCAAGCTTTTTGACCTACGCGGCCTGGAAATCCCTGCAGCTCTCGGTGCTAATGTCATCATGATCATCGGAACCGCTCGCAGTGTGAAGCATTTAAACGTGTCTGCGGATCGTCTCTGTCGCTGGCTGAGAAGTCAATATAGATTGTCTCCCTACGCCGACGGCTTATTGGGACGCAACGAGTTGAAAATAAAGCTTCGCCGTAAGGCCAAGAGAGCGCGCGCCGCCAGTGCAGCGGGCGCAATGGTCGACGAAAAGGATGATGGAATCACCACAGGATGGATCTGTGTAAACGCGGGTATGGTGGACAAAGGCGCTACTACGACTCAGTTGAGCGACGTTGGAATTGAGGGATTTGGTAATCTTGACCTTGGGACCAGTGTGGTTGTCCAGATCTTCACCGAGGAGAAGCGGGCCGATGTTGACCTTGATGGTCTCTGGGAGGCTACTTTAGCTCGTGAAGGACGCAAGAACATCCGGGAGAGCACAGAAGATTTATCTAAGACTGGTGCTGCGCCCCCCAGGTCTATGTCTGATGGATTTGGCTCCATTCCCAGCCAAAGGAGAGGCTTTCATACCATGCGTAGACTCGCACTATCTACCATGAACTCCGCTGAGTCTGGTTTAGAAGCTGATCTCCCTGGCGTGGGAACTTCGTCTTCTACACTTCCAGGCGGCGCAGCTGCAGTTGCATCCCAATTGACACCGGCATCTTTGCTTCAGATTCTCGCTGAACTTCCGGCCGATAGTGCGCGAAATGAGCTTGGGAGCGGCCCAAATGATCGCCAGTCCACTCTTTTTCTGCGGCTCTTCTATACCAACCACGCCGCGAGGTTTTCTGCACAGGAAAAAGCCATTTTTCGATTAAAATTGTTTTCCATTGCCGTGTCTCGACAACACCCAGCTTACACCAAGGATGCACTGTTTAGCACATTCTCTGATTTTCTTCGCGACGGGTATGACCTTCCGGATGACCTTGGATTCGATGTCGTTTCTGCGCTTCTAACGCCGAGAACAGCGGGTGTTATAACCGAGAAGTCTGAGACTCATTCCCCAGAGGCTGATATGGAGCTTGCTTTGTTAGTGCTGGATCGCTTGAGCCTCCGTGGTGTGCCAATTTTGAACATGAAGATTTTCAATATACTCTATCAAGCAGTCTGTGCACCCAATCCAGCACCTTCGAGGCTGAACGAATTGCGCCCGGAAGAGGGTTCTCCAAGTTCGCCCGTGGTTCAACAGATCGAGTCTCAGAAACAAAGGCTGTCTCGGCTGTCCAAGATACTCGCGGCGGCCAACATTCCATTTAACGCAGTGGATGCGCGTCAGCTTATGGTGACATTATTCCAATGCGGGGACTACGACGGTTTCTGGCGACTGTGGCGCCAGTTTCCCTTGAAAGGTGTCAATCGCACACAAGAGGATTACGTGCAGCTGTTCAGGTTGCATGCCGAGCTGGGCGAGGAAGTGCGAGCGCGCGAGTGTCTGTCGACGGGGGTAGCATTGATGAAACAAGAGTCCCCTGCCATTGTGCTACAAGGTCCGATCGTGACAGCCATCATGCATTGTATTTTGGTGGCAGACCCAACACTGCAGAACCGAGATGAAGAAACGTCTCCGAGCTTCTACGTGCCGCTCTGGACCGAGTGCCAGGAGGCACTTGCTCGGGAAAATTGAGTGACGAGGGATCAATTTGTGGAATAATCTAGCATATATTCTCTAGTGTACAACATTACATGTGTATCTAATCTTAAATATTGGAGTCGTTGTAATTAAATGTCAGACGAATGTAGGGTATGGATGGATCTCCTGGCGCGACGTAGTCAGCTCGGATAAGTTGAGCCTCGGCATATGATCCCTGGTGCCGGCGACTCTTCCTCCCCATCTCTCTTCAAGCACCACCCTTATAAGGATGACTGGCACACCTGACGATGGAGTACCTTCCTAGTCTTCAAGAGGAGTTCGATGAGCACAAGCCATCGCTCTTCGGTAAGTCGATTGATGCTTCCCCGCGGAGACGGAGACGGAACCCCCCATACATGACTGGAATCACTAACGCGAAGATCTTGCTTGACGATAGAACTCCTCGCCGAGCAACAGCTCTCGGATCTTCTTCCTCCATCTTTGCGTTATCTTCTCGCAGTCGCAACACACCGCCACCCGCGCTACCTCCTCCGGATCCTCAACTCATACGACGAAGTCTACGCCCTCCTTTCATTAATAGTCGAACGTTACTACCTGCGAACATTCGGCGGCTCCTTCACAGAAAACTTCTACTCCCTGAAACGTGAGCGCGTTCTCCGCACCAAGAATGGCGAGATCCCACGCGCCCAGGTCGGCGCCGCAGGCCCCGTGCGCGAGGCCCTGAAGCTACACTCGACGGACATCTGGAAGAATTTGTTCGTCATGGTTGGCATCCCTTACCTAAAACGCAAGTTAGACGAAGGATACGATATTCATGCCGCGCCACATGCATCCCTGGTCACCAGCGGTGGCCCACGATATAACCCCAGCGACGATCTGCCGGTCAACCCGTCGCTGCGCCAGCGTATCTTCTTCTACTACAAGTGGTTCCTGCGCAATGTCTACCCATCCTTGAATGCGGCATACTATTTCTCTATCCTGGCGTTCAACCTCGCCTACCTCTTCGACAACACAAAGTATTCCTCCCCGTTGCTGTGGCTTATCGGCACGCGCATTCGCCGCCTTGGCGCCGCAGACCACCGCGCCATCGCCGCAGTGCTAGACCCCAAGCCCGGCCCCAGCACCGGGCGGTCTCAGCGACCCGGCGGGGGTCTTCTAGGTCTCCTTAGTCCCCAGAACCTTCATACTCAGCTCCTAAGCTCGCTGCGCTACTTCCTTCCTGCGTCGATCTTCGCCCTGAAGTTCCTAGAATGGTGGCATGCAAGCGATTTCTCTCGGCAGCTCGCTCGTAAGGCAACTGAGGTTCTGGATCTGCCCGCCCCCGTTGTGGCAGGCTTGACTTCTCCCGCTGAACGACGGAAATCGTCAATCCAAGACGAGAAGGAAAAAGCCAAGAAGCAGGCCGAGCAGGAGAAGAAGAGCGCTGTCGGTGATCTTAGACCAGCACTCAAGCCTCCTCGTCGCCATCAACCCCCTATCTCCGCGACTTCTTACCTTCCTATCTACACTGTATCTTTGCCTCCGGCCGATCCCTCGAGCGCAAATACTTGTCCTGTCTGCATGGGCGCGCTCGTTAACCCGACTGCTTGCCAGACGGGGTACGTGTTCTGCTATGTGTGTATCTTCCACTGGCTGAACGGTGAACACCAGCGTCAACTAGATTTCATGGCCGGCGAAGGCGCTGGCGCACCGTGGGAAGAGGAGATCACAGGCGATGACGAAGAGACGAAGAAGAGTCCCAGTGGAGATGACTCTGAAGAAGGCCCCCGTAAACGATCTGGTAAATGGGAGAGTGGCAAGGGGAGATGCCCTGTCACAGGGAGGAGAGTGCTTGGAGGCAGCGAGGGATTGAGGAGGGTGTTGGTTTGATCTGGGGTCGTGTAGTCCCAATTTTCTATATATCAATCGTTAATCGCACATTGTACATTGTACAGCAGATTGCTTTGGATTGGAGAGTGAAAGAGGATACCTAGGTATATCATTGTTCGAACTGTATATACGAGCGAGACAACATAAACTCTTTCCTGTCCCGTTACTCCTACTTCAGATACTATCTAGACTTCCTAAATATCAAGTATAAATCATGAAGATGATTAAGCTTGCTCATTGAAAGCACCCCCCTTCCCATTCCCCATTTTTATTGAACCCGTTATGATGGCTCGGCCACTATCTACTAGGGAAATCCATATTTCCAATCATCTAGCGTAACTGCAGCGATGTAGCACCACGCAGAAGGTATATTAGACTGATTTAAGCGCAAATATCATACCCCGAAACTGGTTGAGTTTACGGATTTATCCACGGATAAAGATGGTGCTAAGATCTGTATACATCCATGGATTTCATGGATGTGCACGCATGTTCATATGTAGGTACATGTAGATACATACCTACATGTTGGTAGTATGGACGTAATGAACCCAACGCCTTCCAAATTTGGAAAGTTGAAACCACATCCAGATGGTATACTCAATGATAGGTCCATGTGCTGCTAGAGGTAGTTGCCCTGCTAGATCTTCCAGCACCGGAATTCTGGGGACAGAGACACCTTAATTCGGTCTCCTGGGACGAGTCTGGTAACTAGAAAGAAGTGGCTTTAATTCCATATTCGAGAGCCTGGTCGACAATGTAGACAGGAAAGAAAAAGAAGAGGGTTTGCGCTGCTCAACTATCATAACATTTCAGATTGATTATTTGGATAAGTTGAAAATGCAGCTAGAACAGCTGCATTTCATAGCGATAACGCTGGCATTACTCCTTAGGAATCCTTTTCCCTGTCAGACATGTCCTCCGTGTCAGACGTCTCGTCCTCCTCGCTTAGCTCATCATCCGTCATACACATGGACATCTCCTCGTAAAACAAACGAATCCACATCTCCTCCTCATCATCACGCTCACTGATATTGAGTTGCTGAACCTGAGACTCCACAGCCTGTGGCGAAATTGGCTTAAAATATGAATCAATCTTGACAGTGGTTGACTGGTCAACAGCGCGGCGAAAGTATTCTTCAAGGAATACTGCAGCATGAGCATGTCTCTCGCTTAGTGGTGTTGTTATGCCGCAATGGCGGATACATTTCCACTTTTCATAGTGTTCTTCGTGAGCCTCCCGTGCGTTGACTGGGATTATCTTGCGGCAGTGGCGGCAAGGCCGATAATCACAGGTTCGAAGATGTTCTACCTTCTCATCTTTGGTCATTTTGTTAGGGCGAAATTGACAGTTGCTTTGATGTTCTGATTTCTGTCCGATAGCAAAAATTCTGAAGCAATGCTTGCATTTATACCGGGAGCAAGTCTGCTTGTGTTCTTCTTTTTCGGCCAAAGGGATATTACCCTTATTACAGTGCCAACAGCACCACATCTCGCAACTCTCTAAATGCTCAGCCATAAAGCCTCGGGATTTGTGCTTTTGCAAGACTGCAATTAGTCTTCACCCCAGAGCAAGTGAGTTTGTGCTTAGGCAGCTCTTGGTTCGAGAACTCTGTTCCGCACCTGTGGCAAGAAGTGGTCCCAATCTTGAACCACGTACCTTGCAGGTCTGTGCTTGGGCACTTCATGAGGTGTTGAATAAGGTGTCTGTCTTGCATCTTAGAGCTGCAGTGCTTGCATGTAGGGCGTTTCTTTGAGAATCCTTCTCTGGCTTCAATGACAAAATGAGACCGTGCCTCTTCAGGTGTAGGCTTGCGGAGGCCAGGCCCGGGACATTTGGCAAGGTGCTGCTTCAGCGTTTGGGCTGTACCTGCAGAGCATACCAGTCCACACACAAGGCATCTTCCTCGGTCGTTTACGTATTTTGGGTCTTGGAAAATCTCGAATTGTTGCCAGTTGTCTCGATCACAGTCTTACCGTTGACATCTGCTTACGTTGGTTTGCTGTGTCTGACATTCTTTCCCAGATCGTCTTTTCCCAGACGTGACTGTTTCTGATGAGCATAGAGTATATGAAAGATATCCTTTTTGAGAGCTCACCAGGCAAATTGCAGATAGATAATCCAGTTGATGTGATATTAAAGGATAAGAAAGAGAGGAGGGACGCTGACTCGACAGGCTAGACAGCAGTCTAGTTTCAGAAAAATCGCAGAAGTAAGAGATATCGGAGAGAGAGATCAGGGTGAACTTGGGTGCTGATAGTAGGAGTAACTGAACAGTGAGAGGAAAGTGAGAGATGGGGATACAAGGAGGAGTAAGAGGGTACTTACATATAAGTATGCAAGATGAGCAAATAAAAAAAGGCTGTGATACGACAAACTGAATCTATCAGGGTGTTCTAGCACGTCTACATAGAACATGGCGAACGACCAACGAAAGCTCTAGATGGAAACGGTCAACCCTTTGCAAGGGAAGAAGTGGTGCAATATCCCATCTGCGCAGTAAACGGAGGATTCACATTTTGTCAAGCTAATCTGTGAGTTCTGTAGGACTACGTGAAATGTCTTAGGAAACCTAAACCATACATGTACTATTAGTTGTAAAAACAGTACATACATCGATGTAAATATCAAGGTACATATACATATCGAACTTCAATGGACCCAGGTAATAGTCAATCAAGGCTAGGGAGGTGAAGTGAAAGGAGAGGCTTGAAAAGTGTCATTTGATGTTTATATTCCATTTTGGAGCCACGAAACGATAAGCGGATTTGGTCGATCTCCCGAGTTTCTCCAGACGTCCACTTAGGCCTTATACTCTTCCAGGTTGTTTCTTTATTAAACCCCCGGCCACTTGCAGCAAGCTAACGTATAATGACAAGGATTTTATTGCGCCATGACTTCCACTCTTACCACCTGAACTTGTGAATGCAACAACGGGACACCCCTGGAGATCGTCGATTACCAATCCACCTCATTACCAATCACTTCGAACAGGGATTAACTATAGACGTATTTGTAGCCATTTTCACCTCCAGGGGAGAAATTCGAGCATCAACTTTTCATTCTAAGACGCTCAAAGAATGTCTTTACCAATAGAAACTGCACTACCAAACACAAAAGAATGTTCCGACCAGTCATCTTTAGATCTCAAAACTCCGTCTCAATCCTATTGTCCAACACAATCTCAATCCCAATCTGAATGCGACTGTATAGAGAAAAAAGACGCATCAAATGCATCAGTACCGATCGATCCTGAAGCAGGACAACGGAGGCGGAAGGAAAAGCCTCTGTCATTCTATCTTGCATTTATAGCTCTGCTATTAATGGTCTTCTTGGTGTCCTTGGATGCCACCACGTTGGCCGTTGCAATCCCGGTAATTCTATAAACAGTCCTTAGTTTGAAACCACCATTGAGCTCACCCAATTCTTCTCCACAGGCCATCACCGATGAACTTTCCGGGACGACTTTGACCGCATTTTGGGCCAACATCTCCTTTACAGTAGCAGTCGTGGCCATCCAGCCTATTTACACCAGTTTCTCGGACATTTTTGGTCGTAAGCTCCCTCTTTACGTGGCGTTTGCTCTCTTCGGTATTGGATCAATCGTCTTCGCAGTCGCGCACAGCATGGCAGTTCTGATTCTAGGGCGTGTGCTACAAGGACTGGGCGGAGGCGGACTCGACGTCCTGAGTGAGGTCATTGTCGCCGATATCACTACTCTGGCAGAGAGGGCTGTATACATTGGATTACTATCCCTTCCAATGGCTGCAGGGTGCATCGCGGGTCCCATTCTCGGCGCAGTCTTCAGTGAGTATGTTACCTGGCGATGGATAGGCTGGATTAATCTGCCTATAACTGGCCTTGCACTCTTTCTGGCTATCTTCTTTATGCGACTGAAACCAATTGAACAGTCCCTTCGCTCCAAGATTGGCCGTATCGACTGGCTTGGAATGCTACTGTTTACGGCCGGTTGTGTTCTTCTCGCGCTACCGCTTAGCTGGGCAGGGAATATGTACCCTTGGAGCTCGTGGCGAACCATAGTCCCGCTGATCATTGGTGTTCTGATCGTGGTGGGATTTGCATTTTACGAGGGTTATCAGACTGACGCTGTCTTCCCCTACCGTATCTTCCGCTCGAGAACGGCACAGATGACTCTTCTTGGAAGCTTCATCCATGGCTTCGTGCTTTATACTCTTCTACAGTATCTTCCACTATTTTTCCAAGCGGTCTACCTCGAAACACCTCTCAAATCATCCATTTCGATCCTGCCATTCTGCTGTGTGGTCTTTGTTTTTACAGGAATTGCCGCCTTCGCCGTTGATTTCTTCCGGAAATACACGTGGGAAATCTGGACTGGATGGGTGTTTCTCGCTGTTGGTTGTGGTATTTTCTCAGTGTGGGACCAATCCTCCTCAACAGCCATGACTGCTAGTTTCCAGGTGATTGCGGGGATTGGCATTGGCACAATATTCAGCGTCCCTCCAATCCCAATGCAAGCCAGTGCTGCATCTGATGACCAGGGTCTCGCAATGGGAATAATGGTCGCATTCAGGCTATTTGGTGCCCTTATTGGGCTTGCGGTTGGTGCCACTACATTCAGTAGTGTCTTCGCCAACAGGATTGACAGCGTCGCATTACCTCCTTCTTTGGCATTATTGAAAGACCCCGGTGAGGTCGTAAGCTTTATTCCCTATCTACGAACAGCCGACATCTCCCCAGCTCTGCGGGACCTCATTCGAGAGACATACAAAGACGCTATGCAAACAATCTGGTATGAACTGGCAGCATTTGGGGCATTGGGGTTTTTGAGCTCTCTGTTCGTGGAGGAATTGACTATTGAGACGGAAGAGCTGGGTCGGCAGCATTTCGAACGTGAATCAGACTGAATTGAGTTAGGTGGTCAAGAGGAAGAGTAGGTTTGGTTCTGTTAAATTTTCAATGAAGTACATGCCACCGAATAAGACTTTTCGGAAGAATTATAAGATCTAGCCACTACAATTACCTTTTCCATTTCGTCCAGGCAATATATCTGTAAAGGGCACATAGGAAAAACGACTAAGTCTCTAACTCTATTGGAAAAGAAACACAGAGAAGTGGTTAGGGCATGAAATCCGTAGAGCTCACATCAACCCCAGGTGGGTGCAACCCCAGATGGACCGCCTTGAAACAACCTTTCGCTACTGCTCTAATGTTAAATCTGTAGCACCTGTCAAACCTTCAAAGCTTAGAACCTAGCTTCTACAACTACTCAACATCATCATACATTCCACCATGCACCTCGACATCTCTGTAGGCCTCTCTCCGTAACACCAAAATCGTCATGGCCCATGGCAGCGTGGACTATGACATCGCCATCACCATCGCACTTAGGAGACGCCATTCCCTCAGATACATCTTCCGGCGCTTCTCGCATCTCTTTTTGTCGGATTATATCGGCGATATCTGAATGGTTCTGCGCAAGGGCCCATTCGTGCGGCGTACGTCCATAAACGAAATCACGGGAGCCCTTATTAACCCCAGGTGAGTCCAACAATAGCCGGACCACCTCAAAATGGCCTTTGGCTGCAGCCCATGAGAGCGGTGTTCGCCCATAATTAGTATTGGCGGGGTCAGGGTCCACGCCTTCTCTATTTAACAGTCGCCTTACAATTCCAACGGCTCCATTTCCACTGGCATATGAAAGCGGCGTACGATTGTATGTGGACTTGGAATTGGAGTTCTTTCCCGTACCTAAAAGAGATCGAACCTGGTTTTGTTGCTGAGCTCAGCGGCGATTGACAACGCGGTGCGGCCGCCTGAAAGGATATCATCGCATTCAACATCTTGTGCGTCACCGTCGAGGAGGAGCTTGCATATTGAATTGTGCCCTGCCCTAAGAGACGAAACCAGTGGGGTTCGGTGCTGGGAGTCTTTCGCGTCAAGTTGGACAGCGTTTGTTGCGATCGAAAGCTTGACCACTTCAATGGGACCTCCCATTGTAGCCAAGCACAGAGACGAATAGCCTGCGTGATTCCGGCAATCTGAGTCAACTCCTTTGATACAGAGAAGAAGCTTGACTAGTGTATCATGACCTCCTGATGCAGCCAGAGTAAGTGGTGTGTTTTCCGCTGTATCCTGCCGCGTCGGGTCAATGCCATCTTGTTTCAGTAGGACCTCACGATCTCCAAATGGCCACGTTCCACTGCTGATAAGAGCGGTGATATATCCCCACGAGGACGGTTTGCATCAGCTCCGGATACTAACATAAGTTGCACAACCCCCTCGTGGCCACTTTCTGCTACCTTAAAGAGTGCCATAGATTTTGAAGGGTATTCTTTATCTAGGAAAACCTTTTCCCGGCTCAGAAGAGTCTCCACTACCTGGACATAGCCATTCTTAGCAGCATACTCCAGAGGCTTATACGATCTATCCCTGATGTCAGGGGGTTCACCACCGGCCCCCACATCTAGGAGTAGATTCACAACTCGCTCGTGTCCACCTCGAGCTGCGTATGTCAAAGCAGACCTATCAAAGAACAAGCCCTTGCCACTCAAGCCACTGTCTAGACCAGTAGTGTCTATTATAGCCTTGACCTTTAAGTCTAGGCCAAAACATGATCCCAGCCAAAGGTCAGAGAAGTGAGACTCATTCCAACTGCACAAGGAATAATCGTCGCTTCCCTGGTACATAGAAAACCACAAATCAAACTGCCTGGAACCTATCCTGCATACTTCAATCACTGATTTCAAAGTCGCCGACTGCCTTTCGCTCGCCGCCTTACGAAAGTGTTTGGCCCAGTTCGTGGACGCGTATTCTAAAACAAGTTCTTGAGTATATTTCCTGATAAGCTGCTTCGGGTTCGGGCAAGACTCAAAGTCTCCAAACAAGAGATATTGCTTAACGGGGCAGGAGATGAACCTTGGAACTTACCTACATAGGTACTAAGCAATCCCTGAGCTCTGGGAGTTTTAGATGTATACAGGACCAAGGGGCCCGTCTACAGATGATTATTAAGGGAAGGTCACACCCGTGGACTGTACGACAACCTTGGAACCTTGGAACCTTCCAAGGTTGCCAGTGTTCTGTCCGGATTCCCGTCCGGGAGCGGATAGACTTTACCCCGGTTCGAATGCGTCACATGTCCACTTTGCTCATATTGGGGCATATGGTCACGTGGTGTTATGGAGGCCTGATTATTGATCAGTTGTCTGTACCTACCTAGGTACCTACTTATGTGGGCACCCAGCTGAGCGGGACTAGAAATAAGCTGAGCGGGACTAGAGAATTTGCTTATTAATTTCTAGTCCCGCTCAGCTCATGGTTCCCAACCGGGGGGTTCAACTTTAAATAATCCGATCGGAAAAAGCTGAGGGGGACTAGAAAAAAGCTTACATAATCTCTAGTCCCCCCAGGTTAGGAAGCTGAGCGGGACCAGCGAAAAGTTGAACGGGACCTGCGAAAATGATGACTAATACCGGGACCCGCGAAAAACCAGGTCCCGGTCAGCTTTTATGCCCTAATTTAATGTAGTTATGTTGACTTTTGTACAACATTACCTAAAAGTTTCTACCCACTTAAACCTATACCCCACTAAAACGCACTATATCCTAATACATCTCATACACATGTTATATATTGTTGCTTTTATGTCTAATTTCTAAGAGGGTGTAAAACGATTCGATCAAAATAGCATTTCTTATTATAAATTACAAACAAACAAAGCAATATTTCAGGTGATTCGAAGGGTCATGCGGAAAATCAACAAAGGAAGTGAGAGATATATAATTCGTCAACACCAACACAACAGCACTTCTCTTCTTCTTCACCACCCACATTTGCTTTCTTAGGTAGAAATATATGTTGACTGTCTCTAGGAAACCAACATGGCAAACCTAGCACTGCACCCCGGTCTGGGTCCAACCCAGGCCGATTTTGACAACAACACGGTTTTGACCGCTGCAAACCCCGATGCATTCGCGGGTTACGCTCATGGTATATGGACCACAGAACGTTTATTTACATATACTAAACACATGACTAACGTATAACGTACAGTTGGAATACGTAAAGAATACGATTAAGTTCTAATGTAGCAAATGCCATAGACTCTACATTTGAAGCCCTAACAGGATATAGAGAGGGTTGAGGTGGTAGGGAAGGCGATTGGAGAGAAGAATCCGCCATGATAAAGTATAGCGTAAAGAATGCTTGTAAAAAGCCTTATAAAAGCATTGAAACGGGGGTGAATAAAAAATTTCTACGCTAAAAATTGATTATATAAGGCAGGTTTTTCGGACCCGATCAGGTGCAAGAGCTGAACGGGACCCGTTATTAGTCATATTTTCACAGGTCCCGTTGAGCTGGGTGCCCGTTCCGTAGCAGCTCTTGAGCGACCCACTGCCAGCTGATTTATAATCAATTGATGTATAAAGAACTTTTGTACTGCACCCCTCCGATTTTACTATAGCCCGCTCTAGTGAGGTTCCTGGGATCGCAGATAGACAACGTGTTCACGCGTCCCTTCCACACCTAGCAGGTCTCGGTTTACTATACAAACCTGCCTCCGATAACTTTTATGTCCCCTAAGATCGAAGGCTATAGCTCAGTTTTTGCTCCTAACTTACTGAATCTAAGGGGCTTCCCGCCGTTCTTTTTGATTAGTGCTGCTGGGGAAGTTTTCTTGAACCCAGGCTGAAAGTCCTCCCTCGTCATGCTTCCTGCTCTCAGACGACATTTCACATCCTGCGGCCTATTGCGCAGCAGGCTCTTCATCGGTCAGACCATGCTACTACAGTATGGCCCTAACTCATACATTGTCCTCGCCACCCATAGCTATGATTGACACCGGCTTAACATCCATGCTACGCCTGCAGGTATTGATTCTTGGCGTCGCGCGTTCATAGCAGGCCCCGATAGGGTAAATGATGTCGTATTTATATGAAGATGTATGCTAAAACAGCCCCCAGGATGCTCCAGATCTGACGAATGTTCACTCCGGCTGCGGCAAGCGCACCGGATTCATAATCCAAACTCAGGGAATTATTCCCGAACCCCATGCTCGGTGTCCATATCACTGGAGTTCCCTCGTTTAAGACATCCGAGCGCGCAGCATCAATCCTCCCTAAGAACTCGATCGTCAACCTAGCGGAAATTCTTGGCGTCTCCTCATCCTCTTCGGCTAAGGTATTCGCGACAATCCACGATCGAATACTGAAACTTGCCGAAGAGTCGTCAAATGTCAGCTGCACGGTCGGGTTTGTCCCGCCGCTAACGTCGTCAAGGTCATCATCGAGTGAAATGGGAACGACACCCCACCATCCCTCGGTACGGGAGCAGGTCGACATATTCATCTGCAAAGTACCAAGCGGGTTTTGCTCTAGCTCCGAGCTCCCTGTCACTCGAAAAGGGAGCTCATTCCCAGTGTCCTCGGCGACAGTCAGGTTAAAATCTGGCTTCGTGTCTCTACTCGTGGGGAATGAATAACGCCTGTCGCAAATCAGCCAGCCGCCAGAAAAGTGACTGCGCATTAGAAAGGGGTATATACTTACGACATCTCAATCGACTCAAATATAAAGGGCACATCCCGAGTCTGCATGTTGCTGGAATCCATATAATCGCTAAAATACTGCGTGAAGTTCGAGTACGAGGTGAACAGCGAAACATCGATTGGGTTTGTGTTCTTCGGTCGCTCATCTTCCGGTTCTGTCTCTGTGATCGCTAGGATTGCTGGGTACGACCACGTGTATGTGATGTTCCGCAACTGCCCGCAGAGTTCCAACTCCCCCTCCTCTTCGATCTCGGAATCGCTGCGGTCGTCTTGAGGCTCGACGTCGGAGATGGTGAATACGGCGCTGCCGTTGTAGTACCTATAGACAGATTCTTAGTATGCAGTCTGTGTGGCCTGTGGATACGCAGTTGAGCGCACGAGCCAATCCATGGATAATAGTAATAATCCAAACCCGTCACGTTCCGCGGCCGGTAATTCTCATCTGGGTCGTAATTAACATCCTCGCTGCCTATAGCCTGCGCTGCGAGGAACAGCGGTAGCTGTAATAACGTTGCGGCGCGGCGCATTGCGATTGTCGCTCAGGCTGTCGCAAACTAAATGGACTGGGAATTGCCACTTGTGGCAGGCGCGAAATGGGAATCCAAGAGCTGGAGTCCACATCGCGGGGGGCCACGCTCCCCTTTTAAATTTTTGGGCTGCTCTGCTGGATACGAAGATCTAGCCTATTTTGATTCGCTAGGAGTGCTAGGACCCTTGGTATCTGGGAGAGAGACGGCTTGGCTCCTTGGCTGTCTCTTGCAGAATCGGAGTCCGTCCGATGGGTAACTCTGCACCAGTATGACTGGTGCGAATATGCGCGTTCATTATTGTTGCTTCCTGGTCGTTATTTGACTTCAGGTACATGGGATAAAATTTGGTTGGTGGAGGCTGAAGCTCTGGCTCCTGCAGGGACGAGTGCGTCACCATCCCTAAACTGCCCGGCGTTTCTACAGTATCCAAAGGCGACGAATGAATTACGCCAGGGCTCTTGGCGCCAGGACGTCGTATTCAAGAACCCTAGGGTTTTGGAATAAGCTGGCAAGAACGACCTCTCTTGACTTCTGGACGTTGTACTGTAAGATTTGTAGCTCCTGATGTCCCGGCATTAGAGCGAGGTTGTGTCAACGCGGTCTGTATGTGGTCGGGCCCGGGTTCTTTCCCTTAACCCTTCAGAGTGTATGCCTCCTGGATGGAAATCGAGTTCATGGTTTTCGCCAGATCTATGCCCCAGCGGCTATTCTGTTGCGGGAGGTACATCCCTTGAATTCACTGGCACTGTTACTGAGTCTCGAGCGCTTTGTTGTCCAAGATATGTACCTCATAGCACAATCACAATATTGAATCAATAGTGGCATGCTTATGGTGTTCGACTCTACAGCGGCTTTTCCTTCTCAACGGCCAGGGCCACTACCTCACCAGGAGGGGCTTCCTACGGTTGTAAATCGTGGTTTTATCCGAGCTCAACGCTTTTAGGCACGGCTACTGAGTACTCCATACAGGATCACGTCGGCACCAACGGTAGGCGCATATGCGGTGTCTATCCGTTGGAAGCCATCTGATTTCTCCACTTCAACACCCCACACTTTCTCACATGTCGGTTTATCAACTGGCGCAAAGGCAGGCATTGGAGTCGGCGTCGCTTTTGGCGTATTGCTTTCTGTAATATTTGTCCTCTTCCTCTTTATTTCCGGCGACGAAACCGGCTCCGTCAACGGAAAATATACCGTGTCTCCAAGAGTCCAGCGGCCAAGAGCAGACAACCAACGATGGGCCAGCGCCCCGTGATATGCCAGATAATCATTCACTATCTCGTTGGACTCGGATAACTCTTGATTCCTAGTTTCATGAGATTGTTGGTCTTTGTTTTGGTATTGTGTGCTTCATTTCAATGATCTGTGTTCTATGTGTACCAGGAACAGTCAACGCCAGAGATCCCCTACGGAATCACGCTGAACACTCTTATCTCTATCCTTGCAACGGGCTCCACTACATCCAGGCGTACGATAGTGCGGGTCGAGGACCATGGGGCTCCTTTCTGCTTCTTCTCCAAGGGAAATGGACTTCTCATATAAATGTCGGAGCTTTCATCATGCTTTTTGCTCTTGCATTTGATCAGTTCGTCCAACAGATCATAACATATCCTATTCGAGAAGTAACAACTCTTTTGCCCTCTGCGGCTGTTAAGCAGTCATATATCATCCCACATGGAGAGGGGAGTCAGGACTTTATGGACGCCTCGAACGCCGCCTTCTGGTCCGATAACTTTGCCGTTGACCCGATTTGTCCGTCAGGGAATTGTACGTGGCCATTTTCCCAGTAAATCGAGATGTGCAGCAAGTGTGAAGATGTCACTTCGAGCGCAAATTTGGTCGGCTGTGATCCTGCCTCTTTCAACGTTCGTCTACGCGAGGACCAGCCGACTTCATGCAATGTAACCCTGCTACAAGGTGCTTGGTCGTCAGAAGAAATAGAAATAAGTCCATACGGGGCCGATGGGTACTACAGTATGACCATCCCTAAGGATATTGTTTGGGAAGTCGATCAGCTTTTCTATACAACTGCCCCTAACACGAGAGGAGAAGACTTTTTCAACGTCGTTCTTCCTAACAGAACCTACTTGGGAGTTGAGAATTCACTGTATGTGGTGGCACATGCTACCCTGGCCCTTCCTGGAGATGACAGCGCCAGGAGCAGAGATAAATGGCCATCACATCCCCAAAAAGGACTAGAAATCCACCATGTCACAGAATGCATCTTCTCCCCTTGCGCTAGGACATACAAGATTTCCGTCTCGGGGGAGTTCCGTCATCTAGCATCGCAGCGGAGGACTATGGCTTATTCTATACTCAATATTTCAACAACACGTTCCACCCAGATCGATTCGTTCCAGATCTATGCTGGAAGCCAGGGACCAAGCCGCCAGTCGGTGGATCTGAAGACTACTATTCTATCAATAGTGGATCTGAACACGGAAAACCTGGCGATATAACATCCTGTGTTTCGGACGCGTTGGTGTTCGACACGTATGAATGGCAGCTTACAGGCAAATCGTGGTGGGACCTATCCAGAACTGACGGCTCCGTCGGAAAAAAAATTTCACTTGGGAGATTTTAAGGATCGACAATTCATCACAAAAGGTTGCAAAAATCCTTGATGCTGGCTTGAACACGGTGTCGCAGAGAATGGCCGCCTCGCTGTCGAAGTTTGCGCGAGACAACAGCAATAAAAACTGGACTTGTCTCCACTGAGGAGGCATATGTCATGGTCAATTGGCCCTGGTTGACGCTTCCCGCTGTACAGCTTGCGCTAGGAGTGATTCTTCTGGTTTCAACCATTCTGGTTAATAAACATCAGATATTTGGTCTCTGGAAGTCCTCCAGTCTCCCTCTCCTATACCACGGGTTTGAGAAGGAACCCTTGACTGTGGATGAAGATACCCAGGGGAGATTGGTGCTTCGGAGATAATCGTCTTATTCTGAAATTTATCATTGTATATAAAATCATTCCTTCGCCATTTCATGGACTGTGCTGTCGTTGACTCGAGTGATTAAATTCCTGCTTCTTTAGGTGCATAACTTTACTTTAGTTCCCATCCCACTTGAGCCCATCTTAAACGACTCCAATAAGAAGCCCGGGGCCACCGTACACCCTACGAGTGTCCAGTCACCTAACAGGCCCAAAGCGGCAACATGATGGCGAATGAGCAGCGTGCGTGGCAGTACGGTTCTTACGTAGACAAGCCTGTATGTACTGGTGACGCGCGCTCCGCAAGCTCCGCACGCCGATGCCCTGAAACGACATGGAGAAAAGGAAGGATGAAAGGGAGCCGAATAGGCAATGAAACATGAAAAAAGATGAAACTGAGCAGGGAGTTCGGTATGAAGGAAGCAACTTTATTGGATACGTCAACAAAGCCCATTGAGAATGGAAAGTTTATATGTGCCCAAATAGGTAGGCAGGAATTGGGGTAATTGGACGGACAGACCGGCAGTCGGAAGAGACTAGGGGAACAAAGAGTGACCATAAGGTAGCAGACTATGGATCCTTCCTAAGAGAGCGAACTAGGCTTTTTTCTCTCATGAGGTAATCGTCGAAGATATAGGGCGAAGGAACTGTGTTTCTTTGGACGTGTCATAGGCTCACAGCGCGCTTATTAAAATTGCGAAAGATAACAGCCGAATCCGATAACATTTATTTAAATGACGGTAGCTCGAACGCCAACAAAGCAAGAAAATAGCAATAAATCGGAAAGCCACACAAAAGCACCAACAGAGGAGCGGATTGGACACAGAGCCTAAAACTAGAGCCGTTTCCGGTATAAGACTTTGTCTAATGAGACTGAAAGCCTTCCTCTAATGATACCGAAGCAGGGAGAGCTAATAATCGCGATTTTGGATAAAATGGACAAATTTCGCCTTATACCTTAGTCTTGTATGGGGTTTTGGTAGTCTCATGAAGCAACCACAAAAAAAAAATAAGGTTTCAAGTCTTGTCACGTGCAAAATGTTTCCCCTTCCCTTACTTCGTTCGTTTTGTTTTAAAGCATGACGTTAATCTTATTGAGAGAGAGGAGAGGAATGTGTATTGTAAGGAGCTATCCTTGATCCTAGCCAAAATGATGGGAAATTGGAGCGTAGATGTTGGATTAGGCCCCGTATCAGAGTATTTTGCTGCAGATGACACGTGCATGCCGTCGACTGTTATTCAACAACTCTATTCAAGGACATAGTCAGTAGCGAAATGAAGTGGTTCAAGGCCCAGTCCTATCAGCATCTTATTCTAAATTCTTGAGTGGATCCAAGAGCGCATTAACATCAGGAGTGAACTGCGGATGAATACTCTTAATGAGTTTCTCGAACTCTCTGACTTCTGGAAGAAGGGTAGCGTCGACTTTGATATCACTCAAAGAAAGGCTGTCGACTTCCTTTCCTGCGAGATAGTAAGCAATTTGTTTTGTAGAGGCGCACATCACTCACTTGTGAATCTCGCTGTAAACCCATGTGTAATAATGGGGTCATTGCTCTTCGAGTCTGCAGGGCAAGCAACATAGCAGCAAATGGAAGAGCCCAACTGTCACCGAAACAACCTTGTGCTATAGTGATCGCTTTGCGCACTTCAGAATGGGTCACAGCTTGAGGATGATCTGCAACAAATGCATTTCGAAGATGGACAACTCTGTTAGCCCACTTATCCCAATGACTTCTTTCACCTATGCTAGGATGAAACTCGAATAAATCAAGCTCAACCATCCTCTGAAAAGACGTCTTGGTACATCCAGCGCATGCAAAAATGGATTTCATTGTAGGTCTCCCATCTGGTCGAAGACGTCCTCTTGTAGAAAGTGTAGTATAGGATAAACTCTTTGATCAAGGTAACATCGGGAGCCGGAGACTTTTCTCCTACGCCGCCCCGTGATAGATGGACTCTACGCCTTCTAGTTTTACGTTATCGTGCTTAAGAGCCTTTTTTTGAATAGGGAACGTAACTAGAAGATCGTGCACCTCCAGAAATAAGAGCACGGTGAAAGTTGAGGGCCATCAAAAAGTGATAGCTAAATAGACATTGTTATAGGGCAAAGTGCTCCTTTCGGTATGGTCTGAGCGTAGACTGAGTGCTCAATAGATGCCTCTGAGCAGGCTCTGAGTAATGTGTGAGCGAGCAGTGAGCATCCAATCAGAATCAGTGAGCGCTCACTGTGTGTTCATTGGACCTCTCTGATCAATCACGTGACTAATCTGAGCCCGAACTGAAATGTACTCAGTGAGCCTGACTCTGAGCGCCATAAAAGCGGCGGCAGCTAAGACAGGAAAGCCCCACCCGGCAGAGGAAATATGGTACGTGTAGCTACCTAGGTACTGGTAGGTAGGAAGAGAACTTCTTTTCCTCCTCCTTCCTCCCCTCCGTCTCTCTTTTCAGTACAGCGTTGATCCTTTCTTGTGCTTCCGTTCCTGTAGAGTCCTGTAAGCGTTCATCATTTTCTTTCAACATGACAACCCGAGGTCGGCCTTCTGGTCTCGTACGCCCAACCACCCCACCAGATCCCACTCTCAATGCGCGCCCGGTACCAAGCTACCGCAATTTTGCCTCTCGCTCATTTGGACAAGGCGCTGTATCGGACTTGACGGTTCGGTCGCTTCAAGAGCTAGATACTCTCCCCGAAGCCGATCCAGAAATCAGCGACTTTCGATTCTATTCGAAAAGATCCGATACAGTGCGCAATTTGCTCCAACAAGTCGAAGAGCATGAGCAATTTTATAGTGGAGACGAGGTGCTTGGACGAGACCCTACGTGGGGGTTTTTCGTGTTCGTGACGGATTATTCGCCTACCAACATTGAAAATATCCCCCGAGCAATGGAAAACCTAGTGAAATCGATCGAGCGCACTATGCGAAGGAGTCTTCGTGCCTACGTGGGCGAGGCATCCCGCCGCTTTAAGCTAGATGTGGTTGAAGATGAAGAAGCCTTGTCAGGTGCCTCGGACGATCGTGTACGGGAGGAGTTTAGGGCCCACCTTCGGACTACGCGCCTACTCGATAGCAAGGGTAATATCTGGCCTCCGGCGAGGAATGTGGCTTCTTTGGTTCTTGATAGGAGTACGACTTCTATGCTAGCTAATCTCTCCTTTGTCCATGGTAACTATATGGACGAATATAAGGCGTTTGAGGGAAAATCCATCAAAGTTGTGGACTCGACATGGGAGCGTCCGCACATGAATACCTCCCCTTATCGCGGTGTGCCTTATCGTGGTGTGCCCGCCTATCGTGGTGTGGACCAGTGCCCTCTTTATTACATTCTCAGCTTATATTTTCACCTCACGAAGAGTGGGGGATTTATGGAGGACCTCTACCCTATGCACGACAGATGTTATTGAAATGAACTAGTTATTCACAATTCTACAATTTGATTGCAATTGAAAAAAATGTAACATTCTAGTCCGATTGAAGGACTGAACCACAAAAAAAAATAATGTTTTACGATGGCACTAGAGTAGTTATATTTCATTTTATATAAGGAGAAGATGTGGCACATGCCACATGCTGTTGATAGTAAACAGAGTACTATTCAGCATGTATAGGAATGGGAAAAAGGTCTTGTAAAGCCAGCACTATGGAAGTACTACGAAGGATTTTTGATTTTTATACGATAAAGAAGTAAAATTGGAGATGCGTGGTCTCTTCACACATGGAAAGAAGCCCATATTTATGTGCTTCTTCTTCATATTCCTCTATTATGACAGATCCGAAAGAATCAACAAGAAATAGCGAGAATCGGCAATAGGAAACGCAAAAATGAAGTCAAAATGGCTGAATATAGCCCGAATTGAAATGTCAAGACGCCGATATAGTGTGATAACCATTTGTAGGCTAGTTAAGGATAACTAGTAGTATGAGTATGATTAGACTGAATACATAGCTGAAGACGCTAGTCTTCTTAGTAGGAGTCAAAAGTTCGGATTCTGCATATTATGAAGATCTGTAGAGAGAACTCCCAATTAGGGTTAGCGTTGAACTCCTAGAAACCTGCTAATGTTCCAAGGTTCCAAGTTTGGAATGGCATATTAATTACTAAGAATTACCTAGGATTTTCAACACGCCCCCTAATGCGAAGCCGAAGAAGGGGAAGAAGGCTCTATCTGTCCTAAGTCTGTAGATCTTACGTATCCCCAGTTCCCGTAGAGAGACTCTTATCTGTCCTAGGCGTACAGACCCTGCGGCCGTGTGAATGGTACAACAAGCTCAGGCCCCTGCCAAAAGGCTCGGACGACAGTTATTGCACCTCTACCTGCCCATCCGGTATGGTTAGAGTGGCGATGGATCCCTGCGATGCTGATGCCACTGGTGACAATGAATCTGGGGAGTCCTCGCTCGCACGCCGCAACTTTCACAGTCTTGACGCAGACGAGCAAGTTGCGCTTGACCAAGCAATGGCAAAACATATAAAGTGTGGTCTGCTGCTGATGAAGATTGGATCTCGCATTTGAACTACTGTCCTTTCATTACCCAGCGGCTGGAGATTGGACTGCACAAGATACACACTATAAGAGGGCACGCAGCTATCAAAATCCTAGTGATTGCGCGAATCCCCACATCTTTCCACGACTCAAGCAGACCGGGGACACCTTCGCTACGGAACACATCTTCGAACTTCAAAACATTGCCCACTTCATAGAGTATTCGACGAACGGGAAGCTGGCGTCAGGAAATACGCCAAACTTTGAGGCCATTGATGCTTCGTTCTTTCTTACTGTGGAAATGGGTGGATTGACAAAGGATGGATTCTGGTCGAATGGTTTCTTTGTTCGCAACACAGCATTGTTCCACCATGATCTGGGCAAAGACATTAGTTCCAGGGCAGTTGTCAGACTGATGGGAGCTCTAGGGAGCAAAACATACAAGGACAACTTTTACCTCCTTGAGGATGTGGTTAACGGCATGAAAGCTCGGGTAAGTATCCCATTCCTACTTGTTATACATTCTATTGAATGTTTTTCTAACACCTTTTGTTCTTTATATCTTTGGAAATGTTAATCTTGTCGAACCGAGAAAGTGGCAGAATTTCATGAGAGAAACCACCCAGCCTGGGATACCTCTAAAATCTATCAAAGCAGCAATCGCTGTCTGGCATTACCGACCAGGAGGTTGAGAACTCATAGAGACTAATTGTTGCCAACCTGCGCGATATCTTCGAAAATATGGATGGAGTATACAACAGTGAGTCAGATCTTCTTGTTCCCGCATGGGAGGAATGGTGGTGCGACTGGGTTAACTGTCAACTCGACCGCTTAGAGAAATGGATCGCCGATGGGATTGTAGGAATGAGAACGGTCTGGAAGGCTGAGCCAAACACACATCCGTGGAAAACAACGGTCCTAGATGCTTTGGCGGAATTGGAAAAGAAGGCAAGCGAAATCCTGGACGAGTTTGACCCTGCTATTTTTGCAAACTGTTCCTGAGCAAAGGCCTAGGCAAAGGCATAGGATGAGGCAATGGATTCTTCACATATTGTGGGATACAGAGAAGGGGGAGTGGAGAGGGCGAGTGATGTATATTATTGCGCTATATTATAGGTTCTGCTAGTCATACTACCTAGGTAGTTAGTACCGTTTGGTTAGTTTACACCTGCATCGATGGACCTCCCATTAAAATACACCAATACTGAGCTAGTAAGGTGTTGTGGAGACCACACCTTGGCAATACTTGGCACTTAAGCACAATGTCCGCGGGAACCTATAAATCTCTTTTCTCCTTCAATAGTTCTTAGGACGTGTTTTATTTTTTTGACATATCCAGGTTGCAACCGCTAAACAGAATGAATCCTCTTCCACCGGAGCCCTTGAATCAAATATGTCTTAGTGTATGTCACCTCGCGCACTCTTTTCTAGTGAGACACTACAGCCTCTAGCTTCATGCTGATGGGTTGGATTCACGTACAACACTCTCAGCTTTCAGTCGGCTCAGTCACACTTGTTATGGAATAGCCGCCCCGCTTTTTTATCGACACCTTTCTATCAAGTTCTGGAGTGCTGAAAGCCTCAGAAAAACCGTCTCCGAGTTGACAGAGGATGGCCAGGGGCGTCAGTTCGTGAAATACGCTATGAAATTATCTGTCATATGTCTTAATCCAGGTTTAGGCAATACAACACAGGATCTTCTCTGGCAGTTGGAAGGCTGTAAGTTGGGAAACACTCGTGTCGGCCAAGAGGATCCGGCCACGAAAGTCACCTTTCTGGAGTCTCATTTGACGGATCCAACTTTATCATATGCCTCAGGAGTCCTTCTCCTCAAAGGTTGGTCGAACTATCGGCAATGGGAAAGAGACTGGGGTCCACTTACTGCCCTAGTCGCCCGCTTGTGCCATCTAGGAGAGATCGAATTCCTCGTTCGGAACGATTTTCCAATCTCACTACAGGAAGCTATATCACAGCACCATCCAAAATGTCAGCTGAAGCTTTTGTGGCCACAGAACGTGACCTCCAGCGTCCCAAATTTAAAAAACCAAACATGCCCTCGGCTAAGGAAGATAATAAGCAATGACGACTTTGCCGGCATCGATATCAATCTTCTACGTCTCGAGGGGTTACATACATTGTCCGTCCAAATTCCGAGCAGATCTGATAGCAAAGGCCGCTGGATAGAGATCGACGAAATGCTGCCTTTCCTTCTTTTGGCTCCCAACTTGAAGCACCTTCTCTTACGGAAAAGTTCCACAGCCCATCGACTCCCAGTCGCTATGCTAAAGCAAGAATGGAATAACCTCGCTGTTTCTACACAACCCGTGCCGGTATCTTCCTTGCATTCGATTTCAATCGGTGAAGCGGGGCCACCCGAAAATATCCTACTAAAGCTGGCTAGTATCGCGGATATTTCCCAACTTCGGTCCCTTAGACTTGATGAGCTATCCGACTTATCTATGCTTACACGGTTAGCTGCACTTTTCCCAACCTCGAGCGACTATTTATCTCGACAAATGGACGCGGTTGGCGCTGTCCAGATCTCAATAGTGACGATGATATTGGAGTCTCTGCAATAAGGGCATTCAATCCCCTGGTTTATCTCCATCTTCGCGGCTTCCGTAGCGTCTCTTCTCTGAATCAAATCATACAGCGACATGGCCCTACTCTAAAGGGTCTTATCATTATGCCGTGCATTCGGGATAAGGGTAGGACGGAAGACGACTCTGGGTATAAATATCCAGAGCTTGATGCCTTTGGTATAAGCCAGCTAGCCAAATCCTGTCCCCAGCTAGAGGAACTCCGTCTTCCAATCAAAAGATCCATGGGTAGTCAAGAAGAGTGCGAGATGTATAAGGCCGTGGGGAGCTTTTCAAACCTCCATAGTCTTGTACTAGATCTTCATTTCGACCCCAGACCGCGGCCGGTAGACCCAATGTAAGAAATCGAGACGTCCGTTCTTCAAGAGATATTTGTGAATGCGGCAAAGGATGAGAAACTTGCGCTTCAAATCTGGCACTTGATTTCGTCCCACCAAGCTTCCAGCCGCCTACGGAACCTGCGCGTCATTCTTTTTGGTCTTGAGCACCTCCCGAATGATGAGTATCGGCTCGTTGATTGGTTGTCTCGTTCGTTCTTGATCACACGCTACAATTTCCAAAACGTGGGGGTACCGGCTATTAGGGAAATTGGGAGAAGGGAAAGGGAGATACTTAAGCAGTCGCGCTATCAGGGTTCAGAAATATGCATCCCAGAGAGACTAGCGCAGGTTCTTTCTGATGTCTGGCCATCCGAGCCTGGGGATGGTTGGGAGTCGGGACGCAGCAGCTTCCCTTTGCAGCCAAACGATGCTTAAGCTATCTGATGGTGGTAGCTGCTAAGCAAGTTAAAATGAGATTCATTATGTATATAGTCGTATGTATCAATCTTCATGTACATAGGGACCTAGAACAGCCCTTAAAGGTGAGAAGAAGTAGGTATACATCACACTTATTACCAGTGGTCCCAGAATTCTACCACTATTCACTCAGAGTAACATGACGGGAGGGCTACCTTTGAAACTTGGAGCAGGTTCTGGATGAGAAAAGTAATCTCTATTTCTTGGATTCTAGGGAGTATGTCCTATTCATATAAAGGACCTTATACATACCATGTCAGGAAAATGAAGATTGGCACAGTATTGACTCAAATGGTACCTCTGAGGCTTCCAAATATGTAACCTCCGAGTCACAGGTATTCCCAAGGCTCTTTCATAGTTATACAGGCCATTCTTGTGATACCATTAACTAAGTAGAAGAGTCCGAACGCAGATATTGAATTCCCTCGGGCCCGTGTCCACGGGTGCAGCCCTATGTGTTTGTAAGCGTTGTATTCGGGGCTTGGGGTTAGAAATATGCGAGCCTTGCACATTCACATAGTTCTCCATTCTTACTTAGTAGCACCATACTATTAATGACGGATCATCAGGCTTGTCACCTTGATTTCGGGACCGGCTTAATTTGTAAAGTCTTCAGTGGGGACCGTTTCGGGGAGCATTGCGGAGGACTCTCGAACCCACCGTTCGATAGTATAAGTAGCAACCTTTCTGCATGGATAGATACGATTAAATCTTCAGTCTTCTAACAAATCTTTCGGAATAACTATTTCATCACTAGCTCCATCGTGCTATTACCTCTAAGTGGTATCCAACTCTCGGAAATGGCAGACAAGGAAATCATCGCTGCGCTCAAGGAGATGCCATTGTTGATGTCTTCCTCAACGACCCGCTCCTGAACCAAGAGTGGATGGTTCGTCCGGTAACTCGAGATCCATCGAAAGACAAGGCCAAGAAGCTAAAGGAACTGGGTGGGGAGGTGGTTGCTGTAAGCATTCTTGATGGCGGATATTGGACATCTCCGCACTTACTGATCAACTGGGAAGGCCGACTTGAACGACCAGGCCTCGCTTGTGAAGGCCATCGCTGGAGCTACTGCATCATTTGGCGTCACCAACTACTGGGAGACCATGATAATTCCTGCTTCATGTTTTATATTACGACATATCTCAGGCTAGTTTCCCCCGCCCACTTGTAGTTTATTATCTGCCAGACAAAGAGATGGTGTTAGCTTGCTTCTTGTTTTTGATGGGTATTTCCCCATGTACAGTGGCGTTTCATGAATATTTGCACCCCAGTACTTCCAAAATTGACCGCTCTTTCTATACCGCCTGCTTATTACGGCTAGTATAGACCCTGCGCAGTGCGAATATGAAGTTTCGACCAGCAGAAAAGAAGTGGGTCTCGGGCCTTCCGGAGTACTAGGGGGAAATACTCATGAAACATGAGTGTAGGTCCCTTTGGAGATATGTAGCGGACAGTTCCTCGTACAGTCTTAGAACGGTTGTAAGGTGAACCAGATATGGCGCCCAGCTTGCCTTCTTTTAGAATATTAGTATATTATTGAACATGTAGGTACTTATATAGTAATTTGACCAAATCAAATATAGCCCTAAAACGGCTTTATCACCAATTGGCCGCTATTTACTGTGACATCATATGTGGGGCCTCTCTCTTTGAACTTCATAACATCACCTTTGACCTAAAATCACCAGGATATGCAGCTTTTCCAGCTGAATTTCGAGCCGATTTGAGTCCCTTGAGCTATGGAGAGTTTTGATGATGTTTCTCTGATTGGACTAGTGTCCCAGGAAACACCTTTCCACGATGACCATATTCCGATTCTATCCGGCCCCTCAGCCCCGAGTTTGGCGAAGCAAGACACTACAGGGGGACCGACTTCCACCCCAACGACGAGCATCAGACCCTCTTCGCGAATAGAGCGCAACGATGACGCTGGGATAATCGATGACGCCTCAGTCGTATCGGAATTCCCGTTGCCTTACAACCAACCGCCTGGAGCTCGGATTGAGGAAGAGGAAGGGGATGGGGAAGATGAGGAGCCACAGGTAGCAACTTCCTTTGAGCGAGAGGCTTCGCAGACTTTTGGGCAGAAACACCGATCAACTTCAGACAACTCGGAGGACGAAGGGATTAACCGTATGCACAAATTTACGCTGTACGAAACCGCCACTCGATTCTATATGGTCGGGATCAATCTTGCGGAGACTCGTTTTCGGATTCTGAAAATTGATCGCACGTCGGAGTCCGGTGAGTTGAGTATTACCGAGGATGACATGGTGTATAACAAAAGAGAGATGGTTCAGTTGCTGGATGCAATCGACGACGGCAATAAGAGCTCTGGCGGGTTGAACCAGAAGTGCAGTGCATGGGCATTGCTTGGCTTCATCCGATTCACGGGTGCATATTATATGCTACTCGTTACCAAGAGGAGCCAGGTTGCCATGCTGGGTGGACACAATGTCTATCAGATCGACGAAACCGAGCTGATCCCATTGACCACCTCGGAACCTTCACATCCTAAGGCTGAGAAGCATTCAGAGGAGGCACGATATATTGCGATTTTAAATAATCTGGACTTGTCGCGCTCTTTCTATTTCAGCTATTCCTACGACATCACTCGCACACTCCAGCATAATATCTGCAGGGATCGCGAGGCCCATCAAGATGGCCATCCACATCCGTCTTCACATGATTACCATTCCATGTTTATTTGGAACCATCATCTCCTTTCCCCGGCTGCTGAGGCCCTTAAGAATCCCTACGAGTGGTGTCTACCTATCATTCATGGCTATGTGGATCAGTCAAAGATGAGTGTCTATGGACGAGTGGTCTACATCACAATCATCGCGCGTCGGTCCCGATTCTTCGCCGGGGCGCGCTTCCTCAAGCGAGGCGCAAACGATCTGGGATACGTGGCCAACGATGTGGAGACCGAACAGGTTGTATGTGAACAGACAACAACATCATTCCATTCTGCTGGCCCAAGACTTCATGCAAACCCTCACTATACTTCATATGTTCAACATCGTGGGAGCATTCCTCTTCACTGGACTCAAGAAAACACGGGCGTATCACCGAAACCGGATATTGAGCTTAATCTCGTGGATCCATTTTACTCGGCTGCGGCGTTGCATTTCGACGATCTATTTCGAAGATATGGCGCTCCAGTCTATGTCCTGAACTTGGTCAAATCCCGCGAACGAACTCCAAGAGAGTCAATACTTCTCAAAGAGTTCACCAACGCTGTGACTTACCTGAACCAGTTTCTTCCCGAGGATAAAAAGCTCATTTACGAGGCATGGGATATGAGTCGTGCTGCAAAAAGCCGGGATCAGGATGTTATTGAGACGTTAGAAGATATCGCAGGCCACATCATTCCCAAAATTGGCTTTTTCAAGAATGGGGATGACGCAGAATCCGGCTTGCGGCTTCAAAACGGTGTCGCAAGGACCAACTGCATTGATTGCCTCGACCGAACGAATGCTGCTCAGTTCGTCATTGGCAAGAGGGCACTTGGATATCAGCTCCATGCTCTTGGTGTGATAGATGACACAACTGTAGAGTATGATACTGATGCTGTTAATCTCTTCACGAACATGTGGCACGACCATGGGGACACTATCGCGATTCAGTACGGCGGATCGCATTTGGTAAACACTATGGCTACCTACCGCAAGATCAATCAATGGAGCAGCCACTCTCGTGATATGGTGGAAAGCTTCAAGCGGTATTACAACAACTCTTTCCTTGATGCTCAGCGCCAAGAGGCATATAATCTCTTTCTTGGGAATTACACGTTCGCGCAGGGCATTCCGATGCTTTGGGACCTTCCTACGGATTACTATCTCCACCATACCGATCCTAAATCCCACTTCGACAGAAAAAAACCCAGCTACATCTCGTGGTACACACCAGAAAATCTAAAGCCCAGAGAATTCCCACCCCTCCCATTCCATCCCAAAGCACCACTCTCACATTTCGATGATTTCTGGCTGGAATACTACCGACCGCTCGCTCTGTCTTCTCTCTCTAAAGTCTTCTCCTGGAAAATGAACTCCACGTCCCGCTACCTACCCCCAGTCCGCCCAGGAAACCCAGTCCCCGATCTCAGCCCCTTCGTGCCCCGCATCCCCCCAGAGCAAATCCAACGGGAGCGCCTACCACAGCGCAGTGTGAAGATCCAGGAGCCATCCACAAGCCGCAGTCGCGCCTCATCAAGCACGATACCAACACCCGAATCCGTACACACATGGGCCCACCAACCACCCTCGTCTGAGAAACAACCCCCTCTCGCGGGCATCATCAAAGAGCCTGCTTTCAAAATCCCCCACGTATCCCGCATCCCACCCATCGACCCTCCAAACGCCCATTCCACTCCCAGCAAAGCGGAGATCGCCCAGTGGACCCTTGGCCAGCTAGTCAATGACTCGCTGAGCCCCTCTGTCACCAGTGCTGAGGCAGAAGAATACGAGCGGTACATCAACCACCCGCTTAAAGTCCCACTTGTCGTCACATCCGAAGATGAAATGACCGCTTCATCGCTG